CAAGCAGTGCCTACTCCCAGGGTATAGTGAATACAGTGGTGACATTTTTTGACCCCTGCAGATTTCGTAAGTTTGCCCACTTATAAAGGAATGAAGGGTCTATAATTTTTATCACAGGTGTACTTTAAATGGTAGAGGCAGAATATCAATCACAAACTCAGAAAAAACACGATACAAATGTTATAAATTGAGTTGCAGTTCAGTGAGTAAATAGTATTTGATCCCCTACCAACCAACAATTCTGGCTCCCACAGACTGGCTATGTGCTCATGTAGTACACAGATTAGTCCTGTAAATTAAGGCAGTGCTCATAACTCGTTATGTGTATAAAAGACACCTGTCCACAGAATCTTTCTTCCATTCAAACCTCACCTTCATGGGCAAGACCAAAGAACTGTCAGTGGATGTCAGGGACAGGATTGTAGACCTGCACAAAGTTGGAATAGGCTACAAGACCATCAGCAAGAAGCTTGGTGAGAAGGAGACAACTGTTGGAGCAATGTTTCGCAAATGGAAGACATACAAATAACCATCAATCGCCTTTGGTCTGGAGCTCCATGCAAGATTTCGCCTCATGGGGTAAGGATGATCATGAAAGTGGTGAGGGATCAGCCCAGAACTATATGAGAGGAGCTTGTGAAAGATCAGGCAGTTGGGGACCACAGTCTCCAAACAAACCATTGGTAACACAATATGCCTCTATGGGTTGAAATCCTGCAGCGCCCCCAAGGTCCTCCTCCTCAAGAAGGCACATGTCCATCTGAAGTTTGCCAATGCACATCTAAATGATTCAGAGAAGGATTGGGAGAAAGTACTGTGGTCAGAGACCAAAATTTATCTCTTTGGCATTAACTTGACTTGCCGTGTTTGGGGGAAGAACAATGCTGACTATGACCCTAAGAACACCATCCCTACAGTCAAGCATGGAGGTAGAAAAAATATGCTTTGGGGCAGTTTCTCCACTAAAGGTACAGGCCAACTTTGCCGGATGGAAGGGCCAATGGACAGGGCCATGTATTGTAAATCTTGAATGAGAACCTTTTTCCCTCAGACACAACACTGAAGATAGGTCTTCCAGCATGACAATGACGCGAACCATATCACTATGGCAACAAAGGAGTTGCTCAGGAAGAAGCACATTAAGGTCATGAAGTTGCCTAGCGAGTCTCCAGACCTTAATCCTATAGAAAATGTATGAAGACAACTGAAACTTTGAGTTGCCAAGCATTAGCCAAGAGACCTTAAGGATTTAGAGAATATCTGTAAAGCAGATTGGACCAAAATCCCTCCTGAGATGTGTGCAAACCTGGTGGCCAACTACAAAAAACGGCTTACCTCTGTGCTTGCCCTCAAGGGATTCTCCACCAAGTACTAACTCATGTTTTGCTTGGGGATCAAATACTTATTTTACTCACTGAACTGCAACTCCATTTATAACATTTGTATCGTGTTTTTTCTGGATTGGTTGATATTCTGTCTCATCATTTAAAATAAAAGAAATTAAGGGTCTATAATTTGTATCATAGGTGTAAATTGGCAAACTTACAAAATCTGCAGGGGATCAAATAATTATTTTCCCCACTGTTTGTGTCACAGAAGTAAATGTGTGGGGATCTTCACAAATTAATTTTACAAATTCAAGATTGTTCAGAGTAATAAAAGTAGGTTACAAACAATTGAAATACAATGTGAAAATATATGATTTTACACTTTTTCCAGAGATACACTTTAAACAGTTGGAATGTCATCTGTAAGAAATGAGAACAATTCTCCATTAAAACAATTTTTGTGTGTTCAATTTTATTTTTCCCCATTAAAGCGATTTCTAAAGGTTCATTTTTTTTTTCTTGCAAAATAAACATTTCTATACATACCTGCGGTATGCAGGCTCTCCTGGTTCCTCCTGTCTGTTGGCTGCCCTCACAGCAAGCAGCTTTCTATGGGGGCACCCGTAGCTTGGCCCTACCCCCTTTTTCTCCTCATTGGCTGTGATTGACAGCAGTGAGAGCCAATGAGGAGGCAGAGACCCACTGGATCGTGATGAGGCTCAGGCAAGTATTAGGGGGGCTGGGGGCACTGCTGCACAGGTTTTTTCACCTTCATGCACACTATGCATGAAGGTAAAAAAAACCTTCTGCGTTTACCACCTCTTTAATTTATACACCCTGTTCCAAATTATTATGCAAATTATATTTTTCTCATTTACCTAAATAATTGATGTAAATAACAGTCAGCATAATTCTCATGTTATCAACTATTAAGAGTACAATTCAAATTTTATTGAACAAACCTCCTAATAACAGGATTTTTTTAAACATAAAACACTTCCAATGCACTGTTCCAAATTATTACTCACAGTAAGTTTTTCAAAACACTTTATAGGTTGTAAAGAACTGAAAATTGTCCTTTGTTGTGTTTGCAGCATATTTACTGAAATCAAAAGCTATTTCAATCAAACTTTTAACAACATTTTAACTTTTTAAACATTTTAACACTCATCAGTGAACAGGACTGTTTGAAAATTAGTCTTCATGTATTTTTCTGCCCATGCAGCCTGTTTCTGCTTGTGAGCATTGGTTAGTGGTGGCCGAATAGAAGGTTTATGCACAGTTGTAAGACTCTGGAGGACTCTACACCTTGATGTCCGTGGGACTCCAGAGGCACCAGCAGCTTCAAATATTTGTTTGCTGCTATGTAATGGTATTTTAGCAGCTGCTCTCTTGATCCGATGCATGGATCTGGCAGAAATCTTCCTCAATGTGCCTTTATCTGCACCAACCCGTCTGTGCTCTGAATCAGCCACAAATCCCTTAATAGTGCGATGATCACGCTTAAGTTTTCATGAAATATCTAATGTTTTCATACCTCGTCCAAGGCATTGAACTATTTCACTCTTTTCGACAGAGAGATCCTTTTTCTTCCCCATATTGCTTGAAAATGGTGCTCTGCTTAATAATGTGGAACACCGTCCTTTAGTAGTTTTTCCTTAAATTGGGCTCACCTTCCAATCTAATTATCACAGGTGTCCAAGATTGTTTTCAGTGATCAAAAGAGCCCTGACACACAATGCCATCCAGAGTTAAACTGAAAAACAAAATATATAATCTTTTTGACACTTAAATAGAATTTTCATAATAATTTGGAACAGGGTGTATATAGAGAGGAACAAAAAAATATGGAGATCTCACGTTTGGAGAGTTTCTAGAGAATGCTACATCAGTAGTGTTGATTTTTTTTTATGGATCCTTTGTTTATTCCTCCTCTACCATAGGACTCCTTTATTATCTGATTTCTATATTTTCTCATCTCAGCCATAATCGAAATCTTCCATTAAACAAACCCCTTTCCCTACATATTTCACCACATACAGTGGCTTCTTCGGGGGTACAAACTGCCAGTTGTGCAGTTCTTAAAATCAGCGCAATGATAACTCAAACATCTTAGCATAGTGAGGGGCCCTTCAGCCGTTCCAACATGGAGGGGAGAAAGAACTGTGCTGATATAGGTTAAAGTTGTAGCATGGCCACTATGTTAAAGTTATTTTTGGCCATTTGCATAGTAAAAATAAATTATTGCTGATGACGTGTTCTCCATCTCTGGCCGCTGCAGCAAATTACTGCCGATGACGTTGTTCATCTTTGGCTGCTGCAGTTGGCGATGACGTGTTCTCCATCTCTGGCTGCAGCAAATTACTCACGTGCTGCATCTCTGGCTGCTTCAGCGTTTGTTAAAAATTGTTGCTTACATTCACCCTGCAGTTTTCCGTGGGCCCTGAAAATTTGCAGTTCCGCCTGCGGTACAGATATCACAAGACGACGCTCGCTCACCACTCCTTCATTCATAAAAAGCCTTGCATTCTTTTTCAAAGAATGCAAGGTGAACTGTGATTAGAGGAGTAAGATTGTGGTGTTCATCACACCTCCCCTATTTGGAACACATCCTGACATTGGAACAGCTCAGATTGCAGACAAGGTACACAGAGCCAATCAGAGTGCTCCTGTACTCTGTGAACCAATTACAGCCATAATATGTGTCAACATTGCTATTGTGTTTTTAGCCCATTGATCCTGAATGTTCGTAAACACAGCAGGAAGAGGATTGCGTCAGGTTTTAAGAGCAAGACTATGTGACATTTTTTTTTAAGTGGTTCTAAAGGCTACACATTTTTCCTTAATGTATTCCCTGTAGTAAAGGTAAATAAAAAAGTCCCACTACTTGTATCACCCCCTCACGTCCCTTAATACTCACCAGATTCCTCACTCAATCCAGCTGCTCGCTCTCATTTCACAAGTTTAGAATCACTGGCTTCTGTTGCTGTCAAAGCCACACTGGGGTTTATTTACTAAAGCTGGAGAGTCCAAAATCAGACTCCCTTCTGCATAGAAACCAATCAGCTTCCAGGTTTCATTGCCAAAGCTTCATTGAACAAGCTGAGGTTAGAAGCTGATTGGTTTCTATGCAGAAGGGAGTCTGATATTGGACTCTCCAGCTTTAGTAAATAAACCCCACTGTGTCGCTTAATGGAAGCACACAGCCCAGCTTTTGGGAGCAAGCCAAGTGTTCTTCCTTAGGAAACGGCTTCCTATGGTGGTATGCAGAGCGAGGAGGAGCCAAGAACACCAGTGGGGGGCCCCAGAAAAGGAGGTGCCCGGCTAGCTATGTATATTATTTTAATAAAATATACACTTTACAACCACTTTAAATAATGGTATATTTTAATTACAGGCTTATAAGATTTTTTTTTAATATTGACAATTATTTTTTTTCCCTCTTAAAATTGACAAAGTCCTGCTGGTGAATGAAAAATAAAACCAGTTTCTTAAATAATCACATGTAGTGGTGCCAGTCCTCCAGCTTGTCGTAAGAGGCCTCTGTGCACCAGAGAGCTGGATGAAGCCGAGAAGCGGAACACTTGAGCAGAATGAATTATGCAGAGTGGAAACTTGCTATGAATAGCAGCTCTCACTGCATTGTCCTCATGAATGAGCAGACTGAACACATCATAGGGGGGTGCTGAAGCGCTCTGTAAACTCTTCCAGTGTATACACTTTGCCATACCCCACGGCAGGATCCATACTGATGAAATCATCCAGGTTCATGGACGATTCTGAAACCAACAAAAGCAACAAATCAAACATGGTGCTCTGGACGATAAGCATTGCTGTTTATTGGTATAGACTGCCAATGTAAACATTCATGAGCATAAAAAGCCCAATTGTGGAAAAAAAAAATAATTATCTGTGTACCCGCACTGCAGGAGTTAATAGCATGTTTTTTTTTTTGTTTACAAACTTTTTTTTATTGAAAAGGCAGAATACAAAGACTGTGCCTCATAGAATGTAACACAATGAACAATGAGAAAAAAAAAACAAACAGGTCATTTTCATTGACCGACAATCACAAAATAAAAATCAAGTACATAACAATGCTGGAATATGAATGGTACTTCTCACAAAAATCAAAGACAGGTCTGTTTTAGATAGGCATTCAATCTATCAGCAGATATCAATGTATCTTCCAACCATCCCATTTATTGTTGAATAAATGCATCCTATCTAATAAAGTATAATGGATACGTTCCATGAGCATGACCATATCAATTCTCCGTAGAACAGAAGCTAATGGGGACTACAGGTGATTTCCAATGCAGGGCTATGGCCCATAGGTTGGAAACACAGATGGTATGAATCAGCCAAACTGGCAGGGACCCCCTGAATGGATGAACCCAATAAACAAATCTGTGGCAAGAGAACAATCAGAGAGCTAACCAAAGCGGAGGCGACCTCCGATATTCTACACCCAGGGGCGGACTGACAATTCCTGGGGCTCCCGGGCAATAGGGGATCATGGGGCCCCTGTGTCCTTGCCCAAACTCAAAAAAAGCCTATGAAAAAGGTACCAGGGGCATCTCATGGGGCCGCCTACTGACCCCAGGCCCTCGGGCAGTGCCCAAGTTTCCAAATGGTCAGTCTGCCCCTGCCTACACCATATCAGGGAAAGACCAGGACAGGCCCAAAACTTGTGCATGAGAGTTCCAGCAAGGCCACAACCCCTAAAACAGAGGTGGGAAACTTCTGGGTACATAACATGTAGCCTGGAAGGGGTAAAGTACCAACGGGTAAGAACCTTAACCACTTCCTGTCCGGACACTTTCACCCCCTTCAAATCCAGGACAATTTTCAGCTTTCAGCGCTATCACAATTTGAATGACAATTGCGCAGTCATGCAACACTGTACCCATATGAATTGTTTAGCATTTTTTTGAGACAGATAAAACTATTTTGGTGGTATTTATTCACCACTGGGATTTTTATTTTTTTGCTATATAAAAAGTCCAAAAATTTTGAAAAAAATGTGTTTTTCTTATAAAATTTTGCAAATAAATAATCTTTCTTCATAAATCTTGGCCAAAATGTATTCAATTATCTTTTTAGTAAAAAAAAAAAAACCCAAATTAGTTTATAACCAAAAATTATAATTTTTTTTTAAAATATATATATATATTTTTTTTTTTACATACGGTCACCCTAGCAGTACAATATCACAATAATGACACTGTACGACTTGTGGGGGGTGATAAAGATTTTTTTTTTTTTTTTACACGGATTGCTTTTACACCCATAAAGGCTGTAAAAGCAATAATTTCCCCTCTCTGGCTATATTCTTGCAGCCATTGAGAAATACTGTGTTAGCTGTGATTGGTCACACCTTGTCACATGGTACAAGGCTGTTGTGACTAGCCTTGTACCATGTGACCTCTGTGATCATTCACAGATTTCCTCCCTTGGCCAACTGATAAACTCCCACGGCCTCCACCACCATCTCTATGCCGACGACACACAAATCTTATCTCTCTACCCCTCACCTCACCCCTTCAGTCTCCAATTGCATCACCAGCCTTCTAAGTGACATATCGGATAGGATGTCACTCTACTTCCTGAAAAACTCAACCTTTCCAAAAACTGAGCTTCTAGTATTCCCCCCAGCCTATGCCCCCTCCCCCCTGACTTCTCCATCAAGATCAACAACACTACCACCCGTCCCTCCCCTCACGCCAGGGTACTAGATGTAATCCTAGACTCTCATCTGTCCTTTCAGCCCCAAATCCAATCACTGACAAATTTATGTAGACTTCACCTCCGCAACATCTCCAAGATACGGCCATTCCCAACCTCGGAAACCCACTAAGCAACTTATCCACTCCCTTGTTATATCTCACCTTGACTATTGTAACTCCCTCCTCATTGGCCAACCTCATCGCAGGCTATCCCCACTTCAGTCTATCATGAATGCTGCTGCCAGACTCATTCACCTTACTAACCATTCTGTATCCGCCACCCCTCTCTCTGCCAATCCCTCCACTGGCTTCCAATTGCCCAACGGATAAAATTCAAAACACTATCACTGACATATAAAGCCGTTCATAACACTGCCCCAAATTACATCACCGATCTTGTCTCCAAATATCACCCAAACCATACTCTCCGCTCCTCACAAGACCTCCTACTCTCTAGCTCCCTTATCTCCTCCTCCCATGCCCGTCTCCAGGGCTTCTCCCATCCTCTGGAACTCCCTGCCTCAAGCTATCAGGCTATCGCCTTCCCTGCTTACTTTTAGGCGCACTCTGAAAACTCGTCTCTTCAGGGAAGCCTACCCGGCTAATACTGGAATCCCCTACTCCCCCAACCACTCCATCCCCCACAGCTAATTACCTCTTGTACCACTATCCCCTCCCTCCTAGATTGTAGGCTCCAAGGAACAGAGCCCTCAAATCACTCTTGTATTGAAACTGTACTGTTTCCCTCCATAATGTAAAGCACTGAGCAAACTGTCGGCGCTATACAAGTCCTGTAGAATAATAATAATTTCACGTAGTAAGCAATGTCAGAAGTGACATCTTGCTTACTACTATTCATGTGATCACTGATTGGCCAATCAGTCATAACATGATCAGGACCTCACAAAGAGGTCCTGTACAAGGATTGGTGTTCCGCTGTGTTCGGCACCGGAGCGCGCACAAGCAGGGAGGACATTTATAAATGGCCACCCACCCCTGCACTGCACCCGTCTGGCCGTTTATATAAATGGGCCGGACGGGGAGTGGTTAAGGGCCGTCTCTCGGACCGAAAGGGATCTAGAACCCCTGCATATGTTATCCAACATGGAGTCCCAGTCATCATCTGAAAATGTGACATTACAGTCAAGCTCCCATTTCAATCCATATGGGGGGCGGGGAGATATGATAAGCATCCAGGAAAAGGCAATATAGGTCTGAAATAAGGCTTTTACCTCCTAGGAGAGTCATGAAAGATACGTTCAAAATAGGTAATTGGTATAGTCGGTGTCAGACCAAAATGGGAACTAAAAAAGTGACATATTTATAGGTAACGATAATGTTCACGAAGTGGAGCATCAAAGAGGGTGCGCAGCAGGTTAAAAGAGATAAAGGACCCTCCTCTTTGAAAGTCAGTCAATCTAATCAGGGCTCGGACATACCACCACCGATATGCCAGTGGAAACGAGAAGGCTGTGGTAAAATTCGGATCCCCAAAGAACAACGATCCCGGAGGGGCAGGAAAAACTAGGCCCAATTTAGATTTGTATTGGGACCAAAGTGTCAATGTTTGAAACACTATAGAGTTATAAGCCGACAAGGAGCGTGGTAGGATATTAGTCAGGAGTTAGTAGCATGTTTTGTCCAGGGGAGAGGAGAAACTTTTTTTACATCAGTTTTTAGCTTCAGGATTGGCACATTTGGGGAGTGGGGGGGTGTTTTGGTGTGGGAGTGGGTACTCGAATTTGACAGGTACCAGCTCCCACTTCTGCGGTGATCACCTAGGCGATCGTAAGTGGAAGTTGTCCTCCCTCCCTGTAGTCTTCTGGGACACGCGACAGGTCCCAGAAGCCTACGGGGCCATTCACAAAGCGCAGCGCTTCTCGCACATGCGCAGTGGGCACCTGGCTCTGAAGCTGCAAGCTGACACAGCCGGGTGCCCACACTTAAGGTGCCGGGCCAAGGAGAGCAGACGGCCGGTGAAACCAGCCGTGGTGAGGATACTGCTGGACCGAGGGACAGGTAAGTGGCTGTATTTTAAAAGGCAGCAAAGTTTTTACTGCTTTTTTTTTTTCCAGGTGGAACTCCGCTTTAAGTTTTTTTTTAGTGTTTGATGTTCAAAACAAGAAAAAAAACCCGAACATTCCATAGACATATCTAACCAATGCTTGAAAGATAATTAGTAGAATATACTGGTTTTGCTTACCTGATCCTCTGCCCCCCCCCCCCGGCAGATGGTGCACCCCAACAATCCAGCAGTGGAAAGTCACTTGGTATCCTCACATTCAGAACAGGGATATGGATCCTGCTCTGGTCTTGATAATATCAGGACTCTAGCCCGATAAGCGTGGGTGCTGCGGGGACCGGTATAGCTGCAGGGAAGAGTGGAGGATCGGGCAACTATATATCCTATTATTGCTCCCCTAGCCATTCCCCTTGATTCAGCGGAGAACTGTCACTCCACATCCTCATACCCAGAGCGGGGATATGGACCCTGTTCAGGTCTGGATGTTGTCAGGGCACTGGACCACCAGAGTGCAGGGGTGCACAAGCTGCAGGGAGGAACGGAGGATCAGGTAAGTAGATTTCATTTTATTGTTTCCCTAGACAAAAACAGGCAATTAACCCTTACAGCCCCACTGCAAGGAAACATTTTCTATTTGGGTTGGGCTTTAATTATCAATTCACCTCTGATTGGTTACCAAACTTTCCATACTGTTCTTTGTCTCATCAGAGAACTCGTACTAGTAGAAATACAGAGGGTACCATTGCCGACTTCCTCCTAACAATACTCTGGCTGCCTCTGGTTTTGGTACTTTAAGACGGCCACACACTAGAAAAGTGTTCCCCTAAATTTTTCTTTCAGAAACATTTGCCTAATTTTTTGTTAGTGGAGTCAAATCAATATTCGTTTCCAAATGCGGCGATGAGAAATTTTAAAAGAAGCAGGATGGAAACATTTTCTCAAACTTCTAACAGTAAAAGTGTTGTTTCAGGAACTTACTTTCATTCCACGATTGAGTGTTATAAGTGAATTAATTTTTGATATACTT